GAAAGGTAATGCTAATCCAATGATCTTCATACACAATTCATTCAATTTCTCTGATATCTTCTGGAGTTATACTTACAGAGGGTGTCCCCACAGTCAAGCCATTTTCCAATAATACCCTCCTGATAAAAGTGCAAGAGCCACTGAAAACACCTCAACCAGTTCATAGCCATAGGTCTGTTACAAGATTTTGCTGTTTGACACAGAATCTGAAGTTCACTCATTGTTTGAGTTGCATTCCATGTTGAAATCACAAATGACAGGGTGTACACTCTGGTCACAAAAATGTGCACAACATAAGTCCTAGCACTTGAACCACAAAGACCCTTGCTACAGTCACTCACAATAGTTCAGGCTTGTTCCTACTGATAGCACAGTCCATGTCTTGCTTTGCTTGTCTAAAACCAAAGCAATTCCAGGACTTTCAATCACATCATGTATTCTTTGCATTATTTTGTTTTTGGTTACTAATAAGTGCATAAGCTCTTACACAGTAATCTTCACAACAGATTTTGGTAAGAATAAAAAAAATGCAATCCTCTATCACTGTTTCAATAATGTGTTTGAGGTACATGCTGAAAAATTAACAGAATAAAGAAATTAATACTTACAGACAAAATAATCAAGATGGCAGATGGTACAAGGCCAAGGTCAGTAAGAGACCTATCATTATCCTCTGATGTAAATGGTCTATTATGGACAGTTGATGTCAAGGTGAAACTGGAGAAAGGAAGATTTATGTTCTGTCTCACATGCTGTCTTACTTCTTCCAATGTGGTACTCGAAGAAAACTGTGCTATGCTTGAGGATCCATCAGGAAGACGGAACTTGATCCTGGAAATGTTGCTACTGAAAAAGGAGAAAAATGAATGACAGTGCCTCACTATGATAACTTCCTACAAAGAGAAAAAAACAGACAATGTGTTCAACATATTCCATGATATACTGTATATTACAGAGAATTTCATAAAGGAAAAATAATGCTAATTTCAATAAAAATCTGAAACAGCAACATATTTTCTACATTTAACTATATCAGACATTTATCCAAATTCCTCAAGAGTATACTCCCAGCAAATACATAATTTGTCCCGTAAATTGCATGAGAGCACCTGGAGAATTATTTTAGGCATATATTATGAAGGAAAAGTAAACTCTAACAACACACGCACGCACTCACAGATAACATATCAACTATACATACACATAAATGTCATTTACTTATTTGATGAGAGCAGCAGGAACAAAACTGGAGCAACAGGCTTGACTGTGGAGCTGCAGGTTTCTTGAGAGCTCGTTCTGCTCGATCAGCAGCAATCTGGGCTCTGCAATAACACCAAATACACTAACTATTGCATAACAGAACATATATACCATCACAATATATATTCTTTCAAAAGAATATCCATGGACTTTCATTTTCCATTATGGTTGCTAGAATATCAAATTGTTGAAATTATAAAATCCTTTGTGCAGGGAAGACATTCACTGAAATCTTCATCCGTTCTGTATTAAATGAAAGAAGTTCTCACAAGTGGGTTTATACCCATAGGAGACTATAGCAAGCCTTATCTATGAATACTCACTTTACTCTCTCTCTGGCTAATCTGTCCTCTTCTTTGTCTTTTCGGCGTTCTTGCTGCAGCTCGGATCTCCTTGTTTTCCTGCTCCAATTTCCTTTTGGCTATCTCTTGACCCATCTTTCTGCGTTCAATTTCCTTCTGTCTCTCCTCCTGTGGATATGATGTTTAATGGCTTTAAATAAACGCAGTGGATATTGTTCCGGCACCGGATTTTATAATATTTTGGCTATTCGTCCGCATACACTCGTGCTTGAGCACTGTCAATAATTCTGTCTTGGTCATTTCACACAATATTCATAGTCGTATCGAGACTGCTGGGAAATTTTTGCGGTGTTTTTTGTCGGAAGCCTGCCACTGAAGAGCTACTTTTCCGGCAGGGGCGCACATCAAAATTTTTATTATTCTTAGGACCAAGTGGACACACATGCTATGTTTGTAGCATTTTCTGTGATTTCATCCCTATTCTGTGATTTTATCGTGCCTATAAACGACAGGATTGCGACTCCGCCAACAATGTTGGGGGTTCCCGTGGGGAATTGGGGTTGGGGGGGTGATTTCGTCCATCACTAAAAAGCAAAAGAATGTGGGGAAATTGAAAATCCGAGCCAAGGATAGCATTTCAGATGATAAAGTGAAAATGTAGGAACCCGAGAGGAGATTCTGCCACGTATGATTCGACACGGTGTTGCGTAAATGAACGAGCGTGAACCGCATCTTTGAATGCATGAACTATCAGTAGGATCGCTGTATGAACCAAAATTCCTCCTAACCTGGGGGCTATGCCCCCAGATTCCCTCCCGATTATCTATCTTCCTACGGTGCCTCTAGATCGCCACTGACTACACTCAGTAATACAAAATGAGTTTACCTTAAAGCTGGGGGGACGGAGGTTGGGAAGTAACAAACCGGAAACCCCCTCCCAATTGCCGTATTTTCCTATCGGGGGCTACGCTCCCGTACCCTCTCCCAATTGCCGTATTTCCGATGCAGGCAAACACTAAGTAGGAGTACTCCAACTCTGGCTTTACTTCTTACCCGGTGTACGCTTCAAAGCTGCAGCAATAGTCCTTGAATCTTTGACATAAAACTGTGTGAAAGTGCTCTCTTAAAATTTGGTCAGGCTGTCCTTCACAACAGAAAAACTGGCAAATTCAGTTCCAACTTTGAAGGAATCCATAATTGATGATCGACCCTTAGCCATGAACAATGAACAACATAAATATAGCTCTAAAGTTTGTATGCAAGGCTAATGCACGAGTGTGTTTGCGCTTAAATAGTTAGTGCACCTGTATGCCAGACGAATAGCCAAACTGTTATAAAATCCGGTGCCGAAACAATATCCACGGCGTTAAATAAATATATCTAGAATTCAGTACTTACAAAAACAGACCTTCATGGGAATTTTTAAGAAAAAGTTTAAGTGCCATTTGCATCCACAGTATGATGACTTTCATCTAATGATGTCAAAGATTGCATGTGTGTGTCATTTTCTGCATGCTATATATCACTATTAGCTCTTTATGGAAATATTTGCAAATTAAGATTTTAAATTCTGGGAGATCCTTAATTAAAAGAATAATGCAGTGTCACTGTGGGCGTGCATTGGCATACAAGCGAGAGTGAGAGTGAGAGTGAAAGTCAGTACAATAGTGTGTGAGAATGACAGTGAGAATGACACTGAAAACGTGAGTGGGAGTGGGAGTGTGAGGGACAGGCAAAGGGAGAACAAACTTTCCCATTAACAGGCTCACTGACAAATTCAAACAGGGAAGGGGTTGGGAAGTAACTCGAGCATGGTCAATGTGAGGTTTACCATCCAATGGTTCTTATGGGTTATATAAATCACATCTGATTACTCTAGTTCCCTTCATATCAACAAGAATTTTCTGTATAAGTATTCTAAAACAGAAGGCAAATACTACAGATGAAATAACATAAAAAAAAAAAAAAAAAAAAAAAGTGGACAATGAAACACAAGGAACCTAGTTGTTGGGACTGAAAACCAACATGAACAAGACTGAATGCATCACTTACATGTGCTTTCTCCTGTGCCTGAGCTGCTCGTTTTTCAGCAAGAAGAACTTTTGCTCTCTCTACTCTATCTTCCAAGCTGACTGAATCATCTATTGCTTCGCTGTCATTTTCTTCACGTTCTATGAAGAATAATATATAATCAAAATAATAATAAATATCATGCACATATGTTTTGGCAAAACAAACAATTTTACTTCAAACTCTGCTAAACAATTATGTACAATTGAGGTCTAAAGAAAATCCCATGTTACAAAGCAGCACAAGCTTTCCCCAAACCCAACAAATGATTATTCCTTCAAATACCAAAATTGTTATGACTTCCTTTAAATATTTTAAGATATCAATGCAAAATAAATTACATCATTAACAACATAGTTTCCCAATTCAATAAATCTTGACACACCTGGAGTTCCTGAATCATCTTGAATTCCAGAGTCTGGGGTTACATTTGCCTCCGACTTCTTTTCATTGCCTAAACCGGACGGGGATGCTTGGTCATCTGGGCTCAACTCTTTGGCGGCTGAATCAAAGCAGAGGCAGAAGCAGCACCATCCTCTGTCAATTTTGGTGTCTCTTCTTCCTTTTCTGGCTGTTTACTGGAGTTCTGTGTACCACCCTCATTCACATTTTCATTAGCTGACACTGCAGCACTAGCTCCCTGCAGCAATTACAAAACACTTTATAAAACCAAACTTGAAGTCACCATGTGTTTCATTATAACATATCTTTGATGCTAAATACGAACCCAGTGTAACACTCCTTTCAAGAGTTTCTGTCCCTATACCAAAATCCATGCAACAGATTATAGCAAAGGCATAAATGCATGAGTATGTGTGTATATGTATGAATGTGTGTATGTGTGGTCTGTGTGTATGTGGGGGGGGGGGTGCGTGGGTCTGGGTGTGTGTGGTGGGTGTGTCCGTGTGCATCATCATCATCATCATCATCATCATCATCATCATCATCATATCATCATCATCATCATCATCATCATCATCATCATCATCATCATCATAATGATGACAACAATATTAACAACAACAACAACAACAACAACAACAACAACAACAATAATAATAATGTGTGTGTGTGCATGTGCATATGTATGCATGAGTGAATGAGTGTATGTGCTTCTACTTGTCTCTGTCTGTATGTGTGTGTACATGTTTGTTTGTATATAATAATAAAATAATAATAATAATAATATAATAATTAATAATAATTAATAATAATAATAATAATATAATAATAATAATAATATAATAATAATAATATAAATAATAATAATGATGTGAGTGTTGTGTGCATGTGCATGTGTATGCATGAGTAAATGAGTGTGTGTGCTTCTGTTTCTCTGTCTGTATGTGTTTGTGTTCATGTTTGTTTGTATATGTTTGTGACTGTGTCTGTCTGTGTCCTTTGGTGTCTGTGTCTATGTCTCTGATTATCTCTGCATGTACTTGTTTCTGTCTGCATCTGTGTCCGTGAATATCACGATCTGTCTCTGTCTCCGAGTATCTCGGTTTGTTTCTGTGTCTCTGTCTTTGTCTGTGTGATGTAATACCATACCTGATTTTCTTCAGGAACCAAAGAGGTGAGCTTCTGCTTTATATTTTCTTTGGTGAGTGGTCCTCCAAGAACTTCTAATGGTAATCCTGTCTGACCACTAATGAAAAACAGTGACGGAACAAGCACCAAAGGATCTAGGTCATTAATCAAGGAAGAAAAACACATCCACAAATATACATCCATGCGCTTTACTTTCCTAAACAAACAAAATAAAACTGATATATAAACATGGAGGTGGCTGTATTATCTTCTCTTCTAGGAAATCAATTAAATATAAATTGCAAAAGTTTTACAATGCACCATGGACATTTAGTAGGTAACTATACGCAACTCAAATACCAAGGAAAACAATAAACAATTTAGATAAGTAGGACTAGTGATTAGTTCCTTGGTGCCTTAGTACTTGCAGAGCTATCTACATGTAATTACAATTAATACACTTAACACATATTGGCCATGGTAAGTCATCAATTCAAAACTAATTTCCACAAAATATATTGCCAATGTTCAATATAATCATATAATTACAGTACTAAAAAGATAAAATTCCAAAATTAAAGTATCATCATGAGGTACATGAAATATATATCTTCAATTTTTATCCACTATTATCATTTTAATATTAATCATACTTCCACAAGTAATCCAAGAACTCATGTAACACTTTTGCAAATTTATACATTTACCTATTGGCCTCTACTTATTGAGTGTATCACACATTTTTAACCCAATAATGCCAGGTAAAAAAGTTTGGCAAGTGGACATGATTGCGGGTTTATTGGCACGCATTGACAGTTTCCCTTATTTGCACCCGGCTCATTCAGTAGTTTGTGGGCAACATAAGGCACCTGAAAACTTATATTTTGATGTAATTCTAAAAAACATAAATTTTTTGAAGGTTTCCTTTCCAATAGGTGCTATTGTTTACAAGTTTTAGCATAGAAATGATGCTGCTAATATTGGAGAAAAACAAGCTCCATCGGATGAGCAACGACATGGGAATGGTTGACATGATGCACCGTTACTTTGTCTGCAACAGCCATGGCATTTACGAACATGCCATCCAGTGAGAAGTGGTTAATTACCTGAGCACAGTTGAAGGCATTCGAGTCTACAGGTCTTTTTAAACCAACTGACCGAAAATACATCTATCAAATGTTTTGTTACGGTAAATATCATAATAATCATATATATTTGTTCATTTTTTTATGCACTTCAATCATGAGACAATAGTGCATTCATATGAACATATCGATGATAATGTTATATATGAACGTTTAAACTAACAAAATATTTGATACATATATTTTTGGCCAGTTGGCCTGAAAACACCTTTGGACAGGAGTTGGTATCTACTGAATTTCTTTCTCTAGTCAATAGCTTTACTGACACTAACTAATTTTACAAGTTAACTTAATGTCTTAGGAAGTGGACACCCCATGGTCTTCCTTATGGTTTTTCATGACGTGATTCATCTGTGGGGTTGATGAGCCATAGCGATATGACCCCCTCCAGGAGATTCATAAGCCTAAGAGGGAATAACTTTTTTTCTACCAAATTTTGTGTGAAACATGTCAAAAACAACCAATAAATAAGTGCAATCTTATCATTACCTTTGCCTCTTGGTCACTTGTGGTTAACTTTACCCATAAACTAACCCATTCTAATACACCCTGACCCAGCCCAACCCAAAAAGCATTTTTTTTAAGCTGAATATAAACTGGTATTCTAGTATAACACAGTAACTATATGATGCATTCTTTAAAAGGATACAGATCTGAGAAAACTGCAAGGCACTTTCAGTACCATTCTCAAGCTTAATTGCTACAAAATTATTTGAACTCAAGACTGCTGATATATCTGTGTCAACAAGGACTTCATCAGTAGCTTTTGAGGCATCTGATGAATCTGGAAAGACAAAAGAAGATGGTCAATTTATACTGTTAATCATACATTGTTCAACTGATTTGAAAAAGTAAATGTCATTGACATTTTTTTAGACCAAAAAATTGGAAAAATAGGTTTTGGCAACACTGTTGTACTTTTCTCTGATCTATTGATCACTGATTTTTATTTGGACAAGATGCCCTGAAGAGCAGATACTTTAGGCTATCCTTTGTTACAATAACAGTAAGTTTGATGAAATATGAATGATGAAAATAAGAACGAAAAAGTCTCCTAAACTTCAAATCCAGTATTCTCTAAAACTACACTTTTCATTAATGGGGCACACCAATAGCCCCGATGGTTAATCCAATTATAATCTTTTAAGATCTAATACCTTGGACGTCATTCTCTGTAATATTTTTGTTTCTTA